GCCACACACTGGGGTAACCTCAGAGAAAATTTTTTGGAAGGTAATTTCAGCTTTATCCCACAGTACCTCTGGAACATGAGTTACACTTTGGTGTTTTCCCCAACCCACTGCAAGGGGACTGGGCTGTCATATATCTGGATCCATCAGTTACCATCTGAGCAGGGGCTGCGGGTTTCTGGTGGTGGATGTAACTTCCACACTTCTAGCTCTCTGTGGCTGCAGTCAAAGTATGTGCAGTAGCTCAAGGGCAGTCATTGGGAAAAGAGTCACATATGTGTGAGCTGTTGGAGGCTAAGAACACATCAAGGACAGAAAGGGATGCAGGAAAAGGAGCCTGGAGGGCTCTGGCTGAAGCACTGGCAGTGGCTGCTGGACAGTATTTCTGACATCCTTGAACCAGAAAGTTCCTATTCCAAGAAATTATTTGACCAGTCAACAATTATTAAAAACAGACTGACCATGGGCATGCTACTCATCTCTTCATCTCAGCTTCTTCGCCAAATAAATAAAAGCACCTAACTCAGGATTCGTAGGAGTATTATAAAGGTAATGCACATAAAGTATTTTTATCACTGTATATGGTAATAGAAATTAATAATGATTAATCTTAGTGTTTTTTAAAAACTCATTTGTATTCAATATCGCAATTTTATATATTTGGGCAGTGGGCTTCTCTTTGTGCCATAATAAATTCATGCCAGATTCAAATTATATATGCAGAAGATAAGAATAATATCTTATCTTAATATCTTACGGGATGATATGAAGAATATATTTTCAGTAACATATCAGGAGATTGCTAAACTGCAAAAAAAAAGGAAGAGAAATAGGAACTTGGTCATACATAGTGGAAATAAAAAAAATAACTCATTTTGATGTGGATGTATAAAAAATTAGAGCTAGAAGCTTTTTTGAATTTGATACCATTTAAATTTATCATTTTGCATTGTTTTAAACTCTAAATTTACCTATAAGTCAAGAAGATCTAGATCTTGTATAGGAATAATTATGAAAAAAAAAAAAAACACTGACGGAGTTTGGTGGAAAGAAAGAAATAGTAACAGAAAATACAGTATATTCAAACTTCCTAAAAAACTGAAAAAAAGAGGCATCACAAAGACACTTTTATTAGCACTAGATAATATTATCTTGAACCATATAAAATCACCAACACTTGGATATTTTTTATCTATGAAAACAGCAATTTTATATGATTCGACCTAATACATAAAGCCTGTTGGGAGTCTTCTGTGGGCCTCTTTTGCTCCTGCACATCTTGCTGGCATTGCCAAGAATGCAAGGCCCTGACCACTCTTTACCCAGCTCATTTCTCAGAGTTGTGTTTGCAGCAAGGAAGCAAGTGTGAGAGATGAGAAAATGTCTCCTTCTGGAATAAAGATCAGGCTTGCTTACTGCTTGCTCTAAAAGCAGTGAAGTCCTGAAGCTCATGTTTCTCTCCTGTAACACAACTCACCACATTTGCAGATGTTACCTGGACTCTTTGCAACACCTGCCTGGAAGTTGGGAGCAAGGGAACCAATGTAAACATAGTGATGCTCATGTGTAGCTTACTGGGCTATGAGTAACAATGTCTTTTGTCTCTGACTCAGGGGTCTTAAGCCTTCTAACATCCGTAAAACAGCAACAGGCTAACTTATCTTTAAAGTAGGGTAAAATAAAATCCAAGACACAAAAATGCCACAACAGAATACTCTCAAGCTTGCATTAGTTGTATCGGTTGTGAAGTTTTCCCAAGCTATTGCCATTTCAGACCAGGAAGTTGAAAACATCCTTAAGAAAGATCATTATGAGATGTCAAATTACAATGTACACCTGAAAATTATATAATTGTATTAACCATTGTTACCCCAACAAACTTAATTAAGAAAAGATCATTATGATCTTTCATCACTTATCTATCTTTGCTCTTAGAATTCTTTCACAGGAAGTAAAAAATGTGTCATGTCCTCATTGGCCAATTCCCTTAGAGACATGCAAAGTCCCCAAGAAGGCTATGATTGTGTCCTAGACTCTTGGAAAGAGTCCATGTGGGAAGTTTTAGGCAAGTTGATCACTTGTGTTTCCATCTGTTCTCTTCCAACTTTATTTGGCCATGGGCTCAATCTTTAGACATAAATTAAGCTTTATAAATCAGAGCTCTTATAGTGCTCAGAAGTCCAAATTGTTAAAGGCAATCTTAGACACTAAAACACAGGCTTGATTAGAGCTGATAACCTGAGTCTCAAGGCACAGCTCTGCTGCTTTCCTCTAGAATATGGTATTGGTGGTCACACTAGTTTTCTTCCTTCCTAGGCTGACCATTGATGAAACCCAACCATTTTCTCTTGACAATACTGCAATCCTAGATTTGGCATTTTTATGTAAATAACTGTTCTTTGATTCATTAAACCCCATGTTCCTGACATTTTCCTTTCTGACTCTTATCAGCCACACACTGGCAAAACCTGAAGAAATAAAGAGGACCAAATAAAAGGCAAAATAAAGGATTACAACGAAAAAGTGTACTGTGCCCGTGACCAACAAGTAAATTTGGAAATGGGTGACTGAACACCCAAGGATCCCCTGTCAGCCAGTCACAGCTACAACATTTTTTCAATGGCTGACAAGCACCATTTCAAAGGTGTCACATAGAGATACAGAGGAAATGACAGTCATAGATGCTACCTTAAGAGCACTTAAAGTTTAATAGACAAGATAGCACAATTGAATGCCTATATATCCACAAACATAGAATCTGGCTCTTGATTTCCTCTCTAATTACTCTTTATTTCTCTCATAGTGCCTGTCACAAGTGGCAATATTTAGCTTATTTATTTGTGTTTTGATTATCATGACCTCCCTGAACTGAGATTTGCCTGGTATGCAGTAGTGCCCCCTTCCAATTATTTAAGGCTACCCGTTCCAATCTCAACCACTGAATTAGTGAGTGATTCCATGTGGATGTTGACTGTGTATATCTTACTCACCATTGTAACCCAAAAGCTTAGCAAAATTTACTTAGTAGATTCTCAAAAAAAAATCGAGCAATTAAATAAATGAATAAAGCAATAGCTATATATATATATATATAGAGAGAGAGAGAGAGAGAGAGAGAGAGATTATATAACATTTCTTCTGAATGTTAATATTAACTCAATGACACCAAATTAAGTGTAAACCTGGTCCAAAAGCACAAGCAAAATTTTCAAATAATTTAAATGGGGAAAAAAAAATGACCCCAGGGCAGCTGCCCTAAAACTGACCTCAGATACATAAGTGAGCACAGTTAAGATCAGCAAAATGCATCCTAGCTGACCTATAGATTCATGAGCCATTGAATTTTAGAGTGGTTTGGTTTGTAGCATTATTGTAGCAATAACTAATATTATACTCTTTTAAAGTAATAAAAATTAATTACCAGCAAAACAAACATTATAACACAAATGTGATTTATCTTTATTGAAATAGAAAGCACTTCTAGTTAAATTATTTGGTTCCTCTATGACCACAAGCACCTTTCCTGCAACCACATCCACGTCATCGGGGCTGAGCAGGCCTGGGTAGGATGCACTTAGAGAAGAGACATAAAGGACATGAGCAAGCTCAGCATCACAGTGGTAGATGTCACCTTTTCAGCACTGTTTGAATACCAGTATTTCTCATACACATCATCCAGGACTGAGAGCACAGCCTCCATGGTCTCCTCACTGGTGGCCTGAATCTGAGCTTCTGGAAGTTCAAATCCACATGTACCATTGTCCCTCAGCTCAAATGTGTATGAGAAGGGGATCCCAATGTCCTGAGCCCAGTCTCTCGAAGATCCTGATGAAGCATCTACAAATGAAACCATGAAGGCAGAGTTAGAAATTGTATAGTGAAAGCACAAAGTTCTGGAAGCCATTTTGGGAATAAAGGTTCAATCCAGCAAAATAAACAAGCTCTTTCATGTTAGGGTCTCATGGATAGCTGTCTTCTCCCTCTCCTTGATATTAATCACCTGTAAGGCAGAAATTACATCTTTTTCGGCCTCTCTGTCTGCCCCTACCACCCACCACAGCACTTACAATTATGCCTGGCACATAGCAGAGATTTGGTTAAAGTTTCTCAGCTGAATCAAAGACTACACAAACTAACATTTTAAGGCAAGAATTAACTGACATATAAAGGAAAAGAAACAAAATTACCAACAGGAAAAATATTATGCAAATATTCTCTAGGTGGTCCTCCAGTGGGTAGGAGAAGTGGTGGCTGGGGATGGAGAAAGGCAGTACACTTTCCTTTTAACTCAGTTCTTTAAGAGTTTTTCTTCAGGCCCCACCTGCTCTGTTTCTTAGCCTGACGGGTCCTCTGGGAACTGAATCAACTGACCAAGGATCACTAAAAAACGTCCTTCCTGTTAACTCCTGCGCCTTCTCCCTGCCAGCTCTTTTTAACTGAAGCCAGAGGGAGTTCTGGTCTGAGCCAGTGTACTAATTCTTTTTCTTTGAGCTCACACCTTATCCCTAGAGAGCATAATTCAGAATTTGTACACTCTTTTTTATCCTTGGTCATTATGATTTGTAAAATTTCATGTTGATCCCAAGAACTCTTCTCTCCCTCTCCTGCCCACCCCAATCCCCAAAGTCCACTGACTTGTTTTGTGCCTTAGATATTATTCAAGAGGCGACAGAAAGATACTTACATAAAATATCTATACTCGATCCAACTCTATAATTGGTTCCATGCTTTGCTTTCAGTGCATTTGCTGCCTTCTCTCCAGCTTGGATCTGGAGGTGGGAAATAGACAGATATCTGGTGGTAAAAATAAAACCAACAATCCAGAGGGTTTGCTATTTTGTCCAAATCTATCTCCAGAGTTCCAGACCATCTTTCTCACGTCCCACTGGACATCTATACCTAGGTAGCCTGCTGATACTTCAGACCCAAAACGCTGAAACCCATTTTCATCATCTTCCCCACTAATCAGCAGGGATTTTTTCTTATTTCTGGCTTATCATGTTCCTCCAAACATATGTAAAATCTAGCATCTTTGACTCTCCTTCTTTCAAATGCACGTTACCATGTTACATTTCCAGAGCCATCACCCTATTTCAGTCTCATTACCTCTGAAATGGACTGTTGTCATCTTCTGATAAAGTTGATTAAGGCCCTGGCATGCATGTGGGAGGATGGAGCTTAGGATGGGATATATGGTTGGTATGAGAAGAGTTCAAATGGAAATAACGTCAGCATATAAAACATTAGAATTCTTACAGCTATTCTGACTTCCAGAGCAGCTTAGAACAGGGCTATATATAGTTATGCTTCCCCTACATAGTGATTGCCAAGTTGTCTTTCACGTACTATAATATTTATCATGATTTCTACACATTTTTGGTTTTGTAAATACATAGAGATTGATTACTCGTCTCTGATAGGTTTAAATAATACTAGAAATGGAAACCTCATTGAACGGCTGTCTTGATTCTGTGTCTTTGTGCACTCTATCAAAATTTACCCCTAAGAACCTAAAACCACTGTTAGCTAGCTTCGATTAGGTCGAGACAAGGTGGCACAATTTTCAAATTGTTATCGAACATTCTTGGAGGTGAATGTTTATGCTAACTCTTTAGCACCTGAGACTGTAAGAGAAACAACGCTGAAGCACTCTTTCTCAATGCAGTTTGCCAGTTCCCGCACATAGTACTAAAGCGCTGTCCCTCATTTGCATCTTGGAGTTAGTTACCTTCCAGCAGAGGCAACGTCAGTGCCCCAGGTCCCTCTTGCCTTCTTGCCTTCTATGTCCAGAGAGCTCTCACCCAACAGCCTATCAGCAACACAAGGCTCTCTAACCTTTGAACACAAACCTTGCAAAATGGTCACATAGCATCTGTTTTCCTGAACCAAAAAAGGAGTGAAATTCCCTAGAAAAATACTGGAGTATATAATCTTTGTGTTCTTTTGGTTTTTTGTTTCTTCCTGGTGGGGTCCTATCAAAGATCTATAATGGCTTGTCTTTGGTGGTTCATTTGTGTTTGTCACAGATCCTTTAAGTGGAAAGTAGACATCTGTGACAAATAGCACAGACACTGGAAAATAGAGTTCTGAGCTTCTCAAGTGAAATCCCTGTTTCTGCAGAGAAATGGAACTTTTAACAGAAGAAATGGAACTTCTAGGGCTAAGATATGAGGGGGAAATAGGACACAGTGGCTTGGACATCTAAATTGATAACAGCTCCTAGAAATTGTAAGCACTTCCTGAGCAGAGAGGGACAGTGTGAGGTGGTCAGGTGGATGCAACCTCTGGAGTCTAAAGATGCAAGTTCCAGCCTGGGCTCCACCATGCACCGTCTGTAGGGGCTCTAGAAATATAGTTAACTCAAGGTCTCAATTTCCATATCTCCAAAGTGAGCTTATAATATTGTTATGAGAGTCACATGAAATAATGGCTGTAATATCTTTTCATAAATTGTAAAGTCCTAGGCAAATGTTAGTTATTTCCAAGTCTTACAGAATGATCATGTAGTACAAACGGCAAAAACATTGCAAGAAAGATATTGGGGTACTGCTGGGTATTTTTTATTGCTAGGGAAAGGCTCTCTTCAGCAAAGCTCTATAGTGGCTTTCATTTTTGTGCCTAGGTATGTGTGTTACAGATCATGTTCCAGTAGAGGAGGGACAGGACATGTAAGAGAACTAGTGGGTCCCCAGGCCTCTGTGATTTTAAAAACAGAGTGAGCTTAGGCCCCATCTATCCCAACCTTTGTTGATAATGAAAAGCTTATTTAAAAAGATTAAAAAAAAAAAAGATAAGCAAAAAATAATAAGCAATGGTCAAAATGTGGAGAAATTAGAACCCTTGCGTGTTGTTGGTGGGAATGGGAAATAGTGAGCCTGCTATGGAAAACGATATAATGGTTCCTCAAAAAATTAAAAATAGAATTGCCATATGATGCGACCACTCTTGATTATATACCCCAAAGAATTGAAAGTGGGGTATCAAGATGTATTTGTACACCTATGTTCATAGCAACATTATTTGTAATAGCCAAAAGGTGAAAACAATTCAAATGCCCACTGAAAGATGAATAGATTTAAAAAATGTAGTCCAGACATACAATGTAATACTATTCAGCCTTAAAAAGGAAGGAAAATTCTGACACACGATAGAACATGGATGAACTTTGAGGATGTTATGCTTAGTGAAATAAGCCATACTGTATGACACACTGTATGATTCCACTTATATGAGGTATCTGGAGTAGTCAAACCCATAGAAAAAGAAATTAGAATGGTGATTTCTAGGGGTTAGGGGGACAAGGAGTTGTTGTTTAATGGGTATAGGGTTTCAATTATGTAAGATAAAAAGAATTTTAGAGTTTGGATGCACAATTATGTGAATGTACTTAACACTAATGAACTGTGCACTTCAAAATGATTAAGATGGTAAATATATGTATTTTACTACAACTAAAAAATTTTAAAATAATTTTAAAAAGATACAAAAATTACAATTCCAAATTTACCCTCCCTTTGACTTATGTCTATTGTCCTCAGGTTCACGAAAAGGCAAGCCTGTCTTTCTCAGAAATCTGCCCACTGATGCATAGGTAAACATAGCTTCCTAGAAGAACCTGGATGAGACAAAGCTCATGGTCCCAGCCGAGGTTTGGATTTCACTGGCACTTCCCCTACAAATACTCCTAAGCACATACTAGAGACAGAGTTTAGAAGAAAACAAAGCATTGTGTTCAGCAGAGAAGAGAGCAGATATTATTTAGCCGTGTTATTTTAGATATGCCATATTCCACTAACAGCTGGCAAGTTCTTTAAAGCACGGTTCAAAAGCTATAATTGCTGAACGAAGCTTCAAGAGAATTTACAGAAATGAAAGCACATTTCTGCAGATTATTAACATAATCATCTCATTTATATTATAGACGAATACCTAAGATGTCTCCCAACTTGACATTTTATGAAACAGGTAGTTAATTAATGTAGGTAAAGCAGCATTTTTAACCTGAAACCTTCCCAGCAGGCGTCTGGCAAGGTGTAAAAAGCAGGAGAAAGAAAATAAAGAAGAGCAGAGAGAACAAAAGCAGGGCTGGAGCCCAAATCTTGGAAATGGAAACCAGGGAAAGGAAAGCAGAGGTCCTACAGAAGCGCCTCTAAAGCCTTCGGTGCTTTGGTCTTACCAGTTCTTCGTGGTTACTTGATTTTTTTTCAGTATAGCCGTAAGGTGTGAGAATGAGCTGCCCATAAGACTGCATGGTTAGGAAGCACATAATGTCCTCTTTCTTGCTCTCTATAAAGCTGGAAACTGCTGTAGTCTCAGGTTCAGACTCTAGTCCTGTCCCACAGAATATTAACTCTTGGCAGTTTTTAGATGCTCCAATACCTGGAATATACAGGAAACCACAAAGAAGGCAGCACCATCTCAGTTTAGAACTGATGGACGGCAAGGAGTCATCCATACTCAGGGCATCTGTGGTTGGAATCGGGGCTTGACCTTGCTTGTCTATGTTAGTTCTTGTTAAGTTAGTCCACTCGGATAGTCATTCAAGGAGCAACTCAGAAAGGCAGAAGGGTTGACATTTGGATTTAGAAACAAACTATGTGCTGACATGACCCAGGAAGGAAGATGTAAAAACGAAATGGCATTTTCAGTAATCTTTTACTTAAACTTGCGGTGGGCCCTGAAACCTAAGTCTGGGAACTAGTTCTCAGGTTCCCAAGGTCAGACGCTGACATAGTCTTGTTGACCTGAGAGTCTCTCACACTGTCTTACTAGTTTGGGTCTCATTAGAGCTGTTTAACAAGTATGTAAATAATCCGTCCTCCTCACCAGTTTTGATAAGGCTCCAACAATTGAGCCCCTTTTACATGCTGGGCACTGTGCTCAGCCTCTCCTACGTGGCACCTCATTTAATCCCCACCACAACCCACTGATAAGATGGCATTACTAAGGGCCACATTTTAAATAAGGGAAAACTGTAATCGGGAGATGAAGCAATTTTTCCAAGATCACTCAGCCAACTCAGTCTAAATTTTAACTCTTGCCATCTGGTTTTTAACCAGACTGCTCTTGACCATTCTTACATCTTTATTTACTTCCAGTTCACTGGATATGTTGAGATTCAGAAACATGAAAATGTCTTAAAGAGAAGAAAATGTTTTCCTTGTTTACTTCTGCCCTCCTGCTGCAAAGTAATCTACAAAGATAAATCTCCGTTTTTTTTTCTCTCTCTTTATGACAGTTCACATTTTCAAAACCAAGTGATGGATTTCAAACATATTCACGCTGGTCTAAATCTTCTTTGTCCCTGTTTCGCCAGCCTCACTGGCAGAAAAGTTCTGCACTGAAGTGTTGCTGCTTTTTGTTGTATGGATAATATCATCCCTTTAGAGGGAATATGCAAGACAGGAAGCCCAGAAATTTGTGCAAAATTAGATGTTTATTTTCAAAAGTTATAACTCTAGCAATTCACCTCTTTCCTGGCTTCCCTATTCCTTCTTTTTTTCTTTTATTTATCAACTCATCTACTAAACATATACTTACTACACCAGGATGCATTGAAATTTCGATTAAGATCTGTCCCAAAACATTTGCCATTATCATGAGATGAACGGGATTTCCTCCAAAGCCGATCCTGGAACAGAGGGACACTGGGATGTTGCCATTTTAGGATTCATAAATCACAATGTTAGTAGTCATGGGTGGTCCTCAAATTTGAAAAATCATTCCTAGGATTGTCCGGGAGAATGTGCCTTTAACATGGTGAAGCTTATGCAGGTAGTTTTTAGTCATGCAGGTAGGTTAGCAACCCCCATAAACAGGAATATTGTAAACCATCAAATTGGAGGGATGTTTGGCCTTTTCCTCCTGAGCAGATTAGCAGTGCCTGTGGGACGTGATCTGCTTAATCAGGGAAAGCTTCAGAGAGTCATTTTTTAAGTCCAAGTGATACAGGATGAAAGGGAAATAGCTTGGCAGATGGAACAAGGCTGTTCCAGATGTATCAGAGACAGTCTCCACACAGCTCTGGAAGCGGAAGACTGATGTGTGGAGATGGGAATAAAGACAAGTTTCACCAGACGAGCTCAGAGGGAAGGACTGCAGAGAAAGGGGTCCCGTGAAGGGCTATGGGGGTGGTGCTTGGGAAGGAGGAGGAAGAGGAGGAAGGAATACTCTCTAGAAACAAAGGCTCTTATCTGTGGAGTAATATGCTTTGGAAACTTTTTAAAGAGGAAGTTGTCTACTAAATAAAAAGCTTTATGAGATGTTTGCCTTCTGTGATCATAATGAAAAATGAAGGCTGGGTTAGTATTTATACATCATTTGTGCCTCTCATGCTTCTAGAACTGGTCTGAAGTGAATCAAGTGGCAGGTAATCCACAAACTTTCAAGAGATGGAGTTGGAAAAAAAGTTAAGTCTGGCTGGAAAACTGGGAATATGTCAAAACAAAACAAAACAAAACAAAAATGTGCTGGACTTCAATTCTAAAAAAGGCCACTTTAGTTCTAAACTTGACTATTGGCTTAAAAATATTAGGTTGATTTTTATCCCAAAAAAGGGTTTCTTTCTTTACATGGCCACAAAACATGTTCATAGCTGCAATGAGCAAGGTCAGGAAAATGAACCTAAGTCAAGATCTAGTTTATGAACTCATTCCAGGACCAAACTGGATGTACTCACAGTTGTCCACGTGTAGATATAACCATCTATGTTAAGAACTGGGAGCACGAAGAAGTCCAGGTTCTTAAGGAGCCTACTTATGCTTGAGTTATCTGTATAGTTTTGAAGAATCTAGAAATTTAAGAGAGAAACATTTGAAATGATGTGGAGAAAAGGTCTTTTCTCTTTTAATTTTTTAAATGATTTCAACTTCCTCATAAGAGATGACCACATATCCAACCTCCACCCTCCACCTTCCACCCACCTCGGTTACCTACTGGTCATGGTGGTTCTCAAACGTCAGTGTGCATCAGAATCACCTGGAGACTTGTTAAAATACAGATTGCTTGGCTCCTCTCCCCGACCTGCTCCCTACCTGCTCCTTCACCACTAATTCACTAGGTCTGAGGTGGTGAGTTGGAACCTAAGAATTGGCATTTCTAATAAGATCCCTGTTATGTTGATGCTGTTGGTCTAGGGGCCTCTTGAGAACTACTCTTTGTGGGTTAAATTCTTTATGTTTGAGTTTCTGAGAAGACTGACGTACAAAAAATATTACTTTAAAATTTTTTTAAATTCCCTCAGCAGAGGGGATAATATGTAAAAATTCACTGTGCTAGATATTTTTTAATATGTTAATCTCTTAATCCACACAACAAACTCCTAAAGTAGTTATTTCATATTCCTTTTGCTAGTGAAAACTAGGGATTTTAGTATTAGCAAATTTGCCCAAGACTATTTGAAAGAGGCAGCACTAGTATTCACTCATGTCTAACTTCCAAGGTATATTTTCTTCTACATTTAGATATGTTTTCCTTCCAATAAAAATGATTTCATGTACACTAGAAAGAGATCAGAATACTCACTTTTAAGTGAAGCTACTTATTAATTCCATCTCCCTCAGGGAAGAGTATCTCAGTAGAGTTGCATTGCCCGCTTGTGAATGAAGCATGCTTTCTAAATAGCCGAGGCATGACAGGTATTTTGTGGGACGATTAACCATTATGAGGACACTAAAGACACTTACTTCTTTCACAAACCACTGGCAAAAAGCAGGGGCAATTCATTCCCTGAATTCCACAGTCCATCCAAATGATCTTCTTGGGGTTATTGGATGGTTGGCTAATCTGAAGAGAACACCATGCTTCATTATCAGTCACTTATTATTGTCAGCCTCTGTACAAAGTTATCAGATTTTTTTATTGCCCTAGAGGTCACTTTCCTACTTCATTCTGTGGTTTCAAGCATGAGGTAAGGATGCTGGCAAAGACACCCCCCCATATGAGCCTTCCTCGGCTATTCTTGCTCTCCCATTAGTTATCTTGTCTGTTGTTCTTAGGACCACATGCTGACTCCCCACATGCTCCCCTGATGCCTGGCAAGAAGACTGGAGATCTGGTTATCCCCATGGCTATGCTATTATCTGGCTGTGTGGCCTTGTACAAGTTACTTCACTTCTCTGGGTCTTGGTTCCCTCAACCTCAAAATGAAGGAACCAAACTGAAGGATGAGTAGGGATTTTTTCCTTATGCAGACCCTACTCTCCCACCTCTGTGCGAGCATGAAGGCACACGGGCCTTCACAGAGCCAGCCACTCAACCAGAATGTCTAAGGTCCCGTTTAGCCCCATTATCCACAATTCTGAGCTCCTCAGTCTTAGCCAGGGCGAGGAAGGCCCAGGATGGAGAAAACAAAGGAACAAGCTCTTCTACTTCTGGACCTTAATATTTTTAAGGCCTACCATCATGGTCCTACCCAACTACTCCAAATTCTCTTTATTCCAGACCTTGATTCCATCCAGATGATTGACGTGTAAGCCTTTATAAGTTTTGAATTTTAAAAGCCCAATTTGGGGTGGAAAAGGCAAAGTCTTTCTTCACTGCCTCTTTTAACCTTGTCTACATTTCTGACTAGAGCCCCTGGATAGTAAACAAATATCCTTGGGTTGGATGGGAGAGACCCCTTTTCCCCAGTAAGACAATTCTCAGCCTTCTTACTCACCTTCAAATAATACATGGGCTGGGTTTCATAGGTCATGCCTAGGAAATGCTGTGTTACCCCTTCTGGGTACTTCTCACTTATCTGGCTCATCCACTGATAGCTCTGAAAAAGCCAAGGAGGACTGTAGCTATCAATAAGAACATTGTCTGCTTGCCTCTAATTAAGATAACTGCTTCTTCCATTAAGATACTGAACTCTGAACTCTTTGCTTTACATTGCAACAGCTGTGTGCTAAACAAACTAGAAGACCAACAAATTATTACCCATCCTCTCCCATTTTCTTTAAAAATCTACTCTGCCATAAGTCTTAAGGACACCTTGTTGAACTTTACAAATAAGTTATTGAGAATTAACAATTTCAATAATTGTTAATAGTACTTCAGAAACAATAAATAATAGTACTTCATTGATAGTATTTCAGAAACAATAAATAACAATACATCCTTCAAATGGCCGCCAGACTTAGAATTCATATGGCACACAATCGTATCAGAAAGTTCAGGCCAGGCTTATTTTGTGGGATCTTCTCCAGTCTTTATGGACCTCGACAATATCTTTTGCTAATGTCCATGGCGACAAGATTAGAGAGGAGTAGGAAATGCCCTTCACAGAATACGCCAACAGAAGGTTCTAAATCAAGCCCAAGTTAATCATTTTGATTAAACTGGGTGGATACAAATATATATTGATTTATTTAAAAGTCTTACACCATGCTTAGAGAGGAAGGGTCTTACATCTTTGCCTGTAAATCAATAACTTGGGGTTCTATAAGAGTGAATGGAATAAAGGAATTCACAAACATAAGACATTGAAGACAGCTATGAGGGTATAATAGGATACCACCCATACTCTAAATTCTTTCTTATGTTATTTGAAAAAAATTCTGGAAAATATTAATATATTCCCAAATATTGAGATAATAAATTATAAAACCTGTTTAGAAGGCAACTTATACATTTATATATAAAAAAATTAGATGTGCATATCCTTTAACCCAGCAATTCTGTTTCTAGAAATTTATACTTGAAAAAAAGTTTTGCATAATGTCATACATATACATTCCCACACACACATTTGCATAAATAGTAGCTTATTTATTTTATTTTATTTTTTACTGTAACTGGTTTTAGAAATTGCCAAACTTATCTTAGTAAGTATCTTAGCAATACAAATATTTCTTTGAGAAGTTTTCTTCTCTTAAGAACTGCTGACTGTGTCTCTTGCATCCTGAAAGAAATACCACAAATTACAGCTAAATATGATTCAGTCAGAAGGCTTCTCCACCCCACATCCCACACCCCACACATAAACATTGGCCTTTCCCTGCTTAAGCTGGCTAAGAGCTTGATGAACAAGAGTAAGGGTTAATTCTGGTCCATGTTCACACTAGCAAAACTGATTGGAGTATTCTTTTCCTCTTTTTTCTTTTCTTTGTTGATTTGTCTTTTTACCTCATATCACCAGGGTTTGTAGCTTTATTGTTGGTGGCTGGGGTATGATGTTTGGGAATCCCTTGACCTCAGTGCTCTGGCAAATTTCCGCCCCACATTTTGAGCCCCTCTAGTTCATGGATATTAATAGTGAACCATCTCTGCCCATCCTAAAGTTGGTTGTGACCACCGCCCACCCCTGCCATGTATACTTGCTCACCTCTCCCATGGGGTGGTATTTGTTATAGGAATAAGTCTCCAAGTTCCTCCATGAAGTCACTGTCTTGCCCACAACCTCTTGTCTGTTTTGTGCTAGTGATCTGCGAAGGGAAGAACGTCAGACAAAAAGCAAAGAAGAAACTGAGACATCATAAAAGCTGGAAGGTTGATGAAAAAGGTAGTAGAAAGCAATGTACATATCATCTGGAGGACAAAAAGCCATTTACCTCCTTAAGGTAAACACTATTATTCCTGGTTATTTATTTTTCTGAAGATTTTGTTATATAGGCTAAATTATACTTTTATTATATCCTAGAAAATAGGCATAAAGTATTTATTAGCTCATTTAAAAAATTATCTCTGATCTGGACTACCAAGAGAGCAAAATAAGTATTTGCATTATAAAGTCACTAGAAAATAATTTCAGTGCTTTTTGGAATGGGGAAGGGGAGAGGGAATGAAATAAATGAAAAGCATATCTTTTCAACCCTCCCTTCTTCCTCATTCCTTGCACTGGTTGTCCTCCCTGTCATGTCCTGCCAGGAAATGAGATCATTGGAGATGCCTTTACAGCAGTGTTAGGACCGGGGATGATAGCTGTTCAGAGCAATCTTGTTTCTTCCTTCATGTAGTTCAGCAAATGTTTGGGTCTTTCTTGATCACAATTATCCTCTCGTGGTAGGAAAGCGAGGACACCTTAAAGCAGTGTTGGCACCTGGTGAATTCCTGTTTCAGTTGGGCTAGTATTTCCTGGCATTTTTCACAATATAAAGGGGGATAAATTAAAGGTAACTGGCACTCGCAAGCACCAACATTTGGCTTCTACCCAGCTAACATCTGTGAAATATATATGTTGCCTCTTAAGGGCAGCACTGAATCATTGGGTCCATGTAATATGCAAAAGAAGTGAACTGTCTGAGATTTGAATGAAAATCCATGATATTAAAAATGCTTATCATTTTTACATGAAATTAAACATAATACTTAAACCTCAGAAACCCAAATTCTTAGTTCAGGCAACGTTCAGGCAATGTTTAAATCACATACTTAGAAAAGGCAGTTTCTTGTTTCTAGACAATTTCTCTGGTGATGCATATTACATGTAGAGTAGGAGGAAAAATCTAGCTAATCCCTCATATTATCACAAATCTCATCTCACCAATCAAATAAAAAGATTACAGGACTTTGTGTATTTTTTTTAATAAGAATTCATAAAATGTCTGACAGAGAAAATGATCCTTTGGGGTACATTATTAATAAATACTGAGGATCAAAGATTGCCTGATGAAGTTTTGACTGGAATGTATAAAGAAGCAATATAAAAAAAAAAAACTAATAAATATTGAGGCAAATTTTGTCTTTTACATACTTAGTGAAGAAACTGTTTCATAAGTATTTCATGACAGTAAAGTATTTTTAAACTTCTTTTCCTGCTTATAAAATTAACATATGCTTATAGTGGAAAATTGAGAAAATATAGAGAAGAGAAAAAGGAGGAGAAAAAAAAAAAGTCTTCAATAATTCCACCTCCCTGAATTAACCACTGTTGATATTTTGATATATTTCCTGTCAATCTTTTATCTGTGCATAGTTTTTTCTTAAACACGATACAGATTATATCTCTATGTAACTTTGCATTTACTCTTTTGTATTTTGTATTCTACCAGAGACATTTCCTTAAACCAATAAAAATTCTTCATAAACATTATAGTTAATGATTGACTAAAGTTTGATAGTAAATATATATTGCACAGAATCAGTAGTTTAAGTACTTTCGTCTGTACTGAATATTAAAGCTGTTTCCCCTTTTGTTTTTTTGCTATTGTAAACAATTCTGGAGTTAATGACTTTTTGCATAAATCTTTGTGTTTACTTCTGATTATTTCCTTGAGCTACATACCACGAAGAAGAATTCATAGGTCAAAGAGAATGAATATCTTCGAGGCATCTGATTCATATTGCTAAATCCCAAATGATTCTACAGACGTATATTTTTATTGGGAGTATGCAATGTATATGAGAAATTACCTCAAGAGAAACATTACAAAGATTGTAATCTTTATTAATCGTAGATTTTCTAGACTATCATTACATCAATCGTAATGAATAAAGTACCAAAAATGGCAGCTAATCTGTTTTGGGTTGGTAAGAGCCATATAAAAGTTGACACTATTTTACATCAGTAAATAACGATGAAAATGAAAACGGTCAATTAGGATTAGGTCTAGCAGATTTGAAATGTTTTCTCCAAGTATAGTCATAAGGAGCTGTCCAATGGAAAGTGTCTGTCTCATCTGAGTCCCACTGCCTGAGCTGAATCACCTTCCTAATTTAACCTGAGCTTGGTAATCATTTTTTTAAATAAAAATTTTAAAGCATTTACCATTGCAGAATGTTTGCAAAATGAATAATAGTTGAGGGATAGAAAAAAATCAATGAAGATTACAATTACCATTTTGATACATATTTTTCTTATATTTTAAAAGTATTTTATTACATTTTGTATTCTGCATCTTTCCTTAAGCATAAAACATGTATTTCACACGCAGTTAAAATTTTTCATAATCATTATTCTAATGGATGAATAATATTCCATTATTATATGTCATATCGGTATTTATATAATGTAATATGGTACATTTAAGTTGTTTCCAAATATTATAATATTTAATATAATATTTATATTATAAATAAGGCTGCATCTCAGTGCATAAAATTCTTTCCATACGTTAGTTTATTTCCTAGTCTAGATTTCAAGAAGCAGGGATATTAGGTCAAATGATGTGTAAGTTTTAAGGAGGCTGACATTTTTAAGCAAGTTGTTTTTTTTTTTTTTCAGTTAAAACTCTGTATAAAATATAAGTCTTTATCTCTAATTTATAAGTGAATAATCTCAGAAGGGAAGATAAATGTAGTATCTATGTGAAACCAAGTATACTAATGGAAAAAAAAATTGAAAAAACAATGTCCAAAAATGCTTTTGACATCACATAGATCCTGGACTCTCTTTATAGATCTAAAATCAGGCTTTCTATGAAGTTAAGGGACAAGTTGAGATCACACAGATAGTCTGGGGCAAAAATCGGAGTATATTTTTCTGTTCCGTGAGAGCAAGTTTGTTTCAAGATTCTTTTAACCATGAAGAAAAAGAAGAAAAACTTTGTAACTACACGGGCTCGATGAGATATATTAAATGAGCAACATACTGAGTTATGTATGAACAAGGGAATCTGTATTTTATATGAAAACTGCACTACACACACAGATTTTAATATATATTATATATTTACAGAAGTTATGAAAGAATGCAAAAGTAGGCAAAATACATGAATGGGTAATTTATAAACTAATAAAATGAATAATAAACAAGACAAAATACTTAATCTTATTGGGAATCAAAAGGCAAAATGAGTCAGCTGTGGGTATTCACTTATCAAATTGGCAAACACTTAAAAAATGCTTTTGTTGAAATTGTTGACTGACGCAACTTTTCTATAGGGTAATTTGGCAATGTATAACAAGATTATTAAATTTTTCTCAGCTCCTGGCCCAATAATTACACTTTTTGTCACTTTTTTAAAGAAAATAATCAAAGATTTAAAGAAAAATATTGACGTAGTTAGATGCTCATCATGGCATTATTGGTAAAAATAAAGTAGAAATCACATAAATGCCCAATAGGGTAAGAATGATGGAATGTTATTAACAATTGCAAGTGTTTTAAATGTTTTAAATAAATGTCATAAGAAAATTTTTCATCATTTGATTTAAATGAAAAAATTTGGCAATAGTACTATATACATAATTAGTTAGCTAGCTACCTATTAAGAAATATTAACAGTGATTATCTCTTGGTGAAACTATTTGGTAGTTATAAACATATTTTCTTGATAATTAGAATAATGTGATTTACTAATGAGAAATTATGTGAGCGAGAGACAGAATTTTCATTATAATTTCCTTCTTTCAATCAAAAAACATATCTATTTGAACTTGTTATACGTTGTGTGAGGAAGTGTTTATTAGATATTTACTCATTTATTCAAAAATTATTAGAATAATGTTTAATGATAACAGTTTAGGGATCTTTATCTTTCTCATTTATGGTGGTATGGATGAGTTAGGAAGAGAGGAGAATCCAGTTGCATTGATATTGGAAAAAGCTTTCCATTTAGACAATCTAAATCATAATAGTCAGCTCCTTTTCCCACTTCCCACTCACCTATCACATCCCACCACCCCGCCATGGACCAGCATCCCCAAGAGGTAAAGGGTCCCAAGCAGAGGCTTCATTCTTCTGCAGACAGAGCTAGAAAGTCCCAGGCAGGTCAATGGATCAAGTGTCTCTGAGAATGCATCCAGGGGTTGGCTCCTGCAATCAAGATAAGATAAGTCAGTTAGTGGATGTCTCAACAGAAACATGTGAGTAGTGGCTTCATTAACTCCATCATGTCCTCAAACAGCTTTTCCTAATGGTAGAAAACACTACCATTGATTTTTCATTTCTCCTCTAAAACTGAATTTACACAAGTCTTTGGCTTCGTCAGACCCAGAAAAAACTTTTCCCCCTATTTCTAAGTATCCTCATCACCTGTACTCAGGAGCTAACCACTCCCACTGAGCATAATAGATGGTGTGTCTTCTGCTTTGGTCGTGGCAGGCATAGTTATTATTCAAGATCTCCTTTTCTCTGTTTTATTTGGAGTTAAATACCTTCTCTTGTTCTGATGTCATCACCAGCTTCTTAAACAAAACCAGATCTCTCCAAATATGAGCAATGAAAACATTTAAAATATTTTCCCAAGTGGATTTTCCCATACACTCCTCTCACACAGAGCACTCTATCAGACCCCCCACTATGTTTTCAGACACACCCAGGATAGGCCTCAATCTCAACAGTGGCCGGTAAGAGTGAAAACTCAGGTTAAGATTACAGCAAAATCTAATTGAGCAAAGCAAAATCCAGTGCAGAGAAGTCAAGGATTTAAAAAGAGTCCTTGGCATTTGGAGGTCCAATCTAAATTCTTTACCCTATATTCATTCATTCATCTATTCATTCATCCTACAAAAATGTAATGAGTACTCACTATATACCAGACACTAGTATAAAACGAATACATGCAAATGTGAATGAGGCAAACAGAGTCTTTGCTGTTATGGAGCTCATGGTAGAGCTGAGAGAGCAATAAATAAGTATACGAAGAAATAATACAATTTTAAGTAAAGGGAAGTAAATTAAGGCGATAAGACATGACCACGGGCCAAGAATATACTGAGATAGAGAGGTCTATTGAGTTAAGTTCTAAATGATGTGGTTCGTGCAAAGGGCTGTAGAAAAAGATTTCTAGGTAAAGGGAGCAGCTCATGTAGGGGTCCCAGGGAGGAAATGAGCTTGGTGCGATTGAGGAACTGGAAGAAAGCCAGTATCTGAGGGAAGTGGGAGCAAGAGAGAATGACAGAAGACAAGGCCAGGGAGATATGCAAGGGCCAGATCTTGGAGAAACCATGGGCTGTAGTATGAACTTTGGCTGTAGAAAAAGATTTCTAGGTAAAGGGAGCAGCTCATGTAGGGGTCCCAGGGAGGAAATGAGCTTGGTGCGATTGAGGAACTGGAAGAAAGCCAGTATCTGAGGGAAGTGGGAGCAAGAGAGAATGACAGAAGACAAGGTCAGGGAGATATGCAAGGGCCAGATCTTGGCGAAACCATGGGCTGTAGTATGAACTTGGGGGTTTATTCTAAAAAATCATTGAAAAGATTTTGGTTTTACATTAAAAAAAGATTATTCTGGCTGCTGCATAGAGAAAAAAATAAGAGAGAGACAAGAATGAAAAAAAAAAAAAAAAAAGACCAGCTGGGAGGATACCATAACATTCCAGGGAAGAAATGATGGAGACTCAGGCTGACCAGTCGTGGTGAAACGGTGAGACATGGTCACATTGAGGATTTATTTCAGAAGCGGACCCGAAGAATTTGTTTATGGAATGAATAAGAAGTGTAAGGGAATCAGGAAACTTAAGAACAACTCCTAGATTTGGGAGCCAAGAAATTAAGTGAATAGTGGTGAGTTTTTATGAGATGGGGATGAGTAGGTTTGAGGGAAGAAAAGCTGAGAATTCTATTTCACTTTGAGATGCTTAGTAGACATCCAGAGGATTGTCCAGTGGGCAGCACCTATGACAGGATGGAGCTAAGAGGAAAGTTGGAGCGAGGCACATAAATATGTGACTCTTCAGTATGTAAGAGAGGTCGTTGAAGCCACACCAAGGAGCTCATCTAGGGGGTGAGTGTACATCTAGAAGGAAAGAACAAAGATTGATCTTTGAGTCATTTTAACATTAAGAGGTCTTGGTAGAAGAGAGAAATCCAGCAATGGAAATTGACAAAGACCAGCCAGTGAGTTAAGTGGAAAACTAAGAGAGTATTGTGTTCCAGAAGCCAAGTGAAGAAAGCATTTTAAGAAAGTGAGAACTAGCAGCTGGGCCAAATGTTAAGTCGAGTCAGATGACTGACAACTGGTAATCTTATCCAGCAGTGTAGAGGTTCCTAGAGACCTTGAAAAGACCAATTTAACTTGGCATGTGACATGTGCTAGAGACAAAAGAAGGAAAGAGAAGTGAGAGAGTAGAGGCGCTGAGTATAGAAAACTCCATCACTGTAGCTTGCCTAAGTTAATGACACCTTAAAGGAAAATGCACTGTTATGATCCTCCATCAACCCCTGGGGATAGCATCAGCTTGGAAATCTTGAATTTGAATTTCGATGATGTTCAGAACAAAGGATAAAATACAACACCCACGACACTCTTCCCCTCACCCAAGTTCAGGAACAGGACATCCACCTCGGTAGTCTCAACTCTGAAGCAAGAGTTTCAAATGGAGCTGTGAGTTCCATAGTGGGAGAGTGGAACACAGGAGTTAAGGGTGTTTTCTTTTCATTCTCTAGCTAATTGAAATGGGACCAAGATGAGGGCAGAGAGGTGCATAGGTAGTTTAAATAAAAAGCAAGATTCGAATAGGCTTTCTTCCCCAATAGGTAAGTAATTCCATGCAGTTATTCTGAAGAAGAACATAAAAATAAGAAATACGTGAAAATGTACAGTCAAATAACACATATAAATTTTTAGTAGAAATCAGCAAATAAGTTTTTAAAATATGTTGTCAGGACATTTGGCATTACTACACAGGATTTTCCTAACAGTCACTGATAATTGGATTTTCTTCAATTCCCATGTCCAGTTTCCTTGTAATATGTGGTCTTCTGTCAGCTCACTATCCAAAGATTATCTTTCTGCAACCTTATGGAATGCAAGCAGTAACCTAGAGCACTTGGGGCCAATGAACTGGAACCATGAGCTCTTCACTTACAAGAGTGAATTATTATCACATCTTTTTGGTGATTAGATTATTCCTTATCATTGTGTTTTACAGCTTTCTAGTCAGTCATCTCAGCACAATTTATTCACAATAATAGTGGTTTTTTTTATTATTACTGTTTTATAGTTCTTATAGCAGTAAAATTTATTCTCAACTCTATTATTACAATATTCAACTACTAATGGAATTCTTGTTTTTATTTGATTCTGTTTTAAAGCCATAACAATAAAAATTTACTCCCAAAAATATTACTGCAAGTTTTATGTTCTCTAAACTACTTGAGAGAATGCCTGAAAACACATGTGGTTCTTGAAGCACGTGAGAGAAGGCTTGCCAAAATGTAAACATTGTTCTTAAAATAAAGGGGGAATTGGTTTCTATAATGGTGAGACTCATAGTTTTTGATAGAGTAAGTAATAGGATGAAAGAAATAAAAGGCCCTTAGAGACTGCTGATTTAGAGGAAGATTAAATTCTAATTGGCAGGATATTTGTTTGAAAAATCAACCCCTTTTAATTACCAGCCAAGCCCTAGACAATTCTACCATCTATATCCTCCAAAATGATGTACTCTCAAAATGACACCCATGATTTCTCATGGCTGGTTGCCGTATTCAGTTGGAGAGAGGTTGCTATTTAATATTATTACCAAAGGCCAGGGCCATTTTAAAGGTAAACAGTTTTAAAGAATTAGAAATTGGAAGGCACACAGCCAAACCAACTCACCATGTCAGCTGCTCCTTAGTTATTCTCACTGACGCTGAACCTGAGGACATTGCAATGAACCTCATCACTTGCCATGTACCTTTTATACCTGGAAAACTGAGTCAAAGAGCTAGCTCATGAATTATAGAACTTCCAGGGGAGCAAAATACCAGTAGGACTCAAGAAAGAGTTGTGTCAGATTGGTAGAACTTAGGGTGTGGTGAAGGACTTGATCTCAAATGTATGATAGGTTGACTTATGGTCACAAGCAAGGATAGAAGCAGATTGGATGGAGATATAGGCTGGTTGTAATTCAGAGATTATGGCTTAGTAGCAGAAGTGGTAAAATCTGGATTTGGTTTCTGAAGCAGCACCAAGGATAGATTCTTGTTCTGACAGAAGCTTCAGAGACTGCTGCTACCATCTAAGTCAATAAATGAGTGATACATGGATGCATGGATGGATGCATGAATCTTGATCATGTTCTTGTAAGATAGCATACATCCATAGGCTAGATCTAGCCTCTCACATATACAGCTAAGCACTTAGCTTTCTGTGACCATCTGCTCCCTTTGCCCAGATGTAGTGGCTCTGGGAGGGCTCCCACTGAGAGCTACTTTCAAGAGAGAAATAGATGCCAATCTCTGGCTGTAGGTGCCTTCAGATTCTGAGTTAGTATGCAAGCTGAGAGTAAGAGCTACCTGAATATCCTCGAATGACTGAGCTCAGAATTGGTTGAGTGCAAGGGTTCACCATTGTAACTATATAGGATTATTCTGTGAGCAGTCTTCTTGGACCTGTAATGCAGTCTGAGGCTGTTCCTACCCAGTATTTCTTCCCCCTCTCTTTACCGGATGTCAGACCTGTATCATGGTCTGAAGGTACTCTTTGCCTTCTGCTGCTTCTTCTTTTTATCTTTCACAAGGGCTACCTTCTATAAATCTCTCCCACTTTTAATTCCATCTTGGTATCTGCTTCTCAGATGATCCAGCCAACATACCAACTGGACTCTAGGACAAATGAAAAGAGAATATGATTGGCCTTGAGTCATAAGGATCTTTTTGGATTTTATGGATAATTAGACGCAAAAATAAAACTGAACTTTGGAGAAACAAGGGCAATCCTACATGGCCAGGCTTTTTCAGGCTTCCAAAACACAGCCAGCAAACTGCAGAAAATCACACACTAGCTAAACAGCATACTGGTTGGCTTTTT